ACACACACACAAATATATAAATATAGATATATATATATATATATATATAAATAAAAAGAATATAAATATAAAGAAAAAAAGGAAAGGAAAGGAAATTTGGTACTCGTTGTATAGAGTTAAACAAAAACATTAAAACATGATGATAATGATGATGATGGTGATGTGATGATGATGTAATGATGATGATGATGATGATGATGATGACTAGCATATACCCGTACGGTGTTGAATGAGTCGGGAAAGGTGGCAATCATGTACATTGTTGAATGGGGAAGCTGAGGAGGCAATCTTTGTGGATGTTATGGTTACCATGTCATTATTTTTCAGAAGGACGTCTTTGTAGTTAATGTTTTGAGTGTCTTTGCACACTGTAGTCCTTGTAATGTGAGGAATTATTGTGCAGTCTGATCAAGGGTGGATCCAGAATGTTTCAAACGGGGGTGGGGGGGAGCGCACAACAGTTTCCAAATAATTGAATAAGCGAATAGTATATATTGCATTAAAATGTTTAAACAATTACTGGCAAAACGGGACAGGAGTCCTTCTCAGTGACGTCCCTCTCCCCTACCCTACTGGATCTTCCCCTGTTGCTTTGGGCTATCTTCTTGTAAGTGAAAGTGGGCCTACAGAAATATACATTAGGTCTAGCCTAGTTGGGCATAAGAAAATTGTTTGTCTTGAATCAAGGTAGATGCATGTAAGGCTTATCTGAACTACTGACATTCAAAAGAACCCGTAAACATAGTCCCAACGGGTTTACGTAAATTCAAGGTATTGATTGGTCTAGCTGGCTTGATCCTATAGATCTTAATGCACTATCCAAACCCGGGTTAGATAGACATAAAGCCCTAGGTATGCTAACTACCACCTGAGCCTAGGCCCCTAGGTCTAGGCCTATCATAGATAGGGTAGGCCGCGCCTAGGCTAGAGCCTAGGCCTGGTCAGAGCCTAGAGTTGTGCCTAGGTCTTTGTCTAGTCAGGGAGTTGTTCCTGGTCTAGTATTAGGCCTGAATTAGGCTAGCCGGTATGGTTCGCCGAGGTTATATCATGGCTTGTGCCCAGGTGTATCTTTATTTTTTACCTGGTCGACTTCTAAAACATGGCATTTATTGCTGATGTTTTGTGCCACAAAACTACAATATATCCAGTATAATGCAAATGGGTGACTCCGAAGAGATATCACCCGGCCATTTTGCTGATGAACACGAGAAGTACCTGTACTGGGCGGTGACGGAAGCTGCGAAACATAGACTGTTTATTTTACGGACTGACTCGATAATTTTTAGACCTAAGCATTGCAGTACAGAATAGATGTGATTATTTGTATTTACGTGACGTAAGCAACTTGCGAAACATGGTGAAACAGGTACAGATTTTCGGTGGTTTTTGGCTGTTTTTTCGTTGTTATCCAATATCCAGCCTTAAAAAGTAGCCGAATATGGTCGAGACATATAGAAGCCCCAGTGTATGAGCACATTCCTGCCAGCGCTTTCAGAGGAGATAAGGGTTACCATAGTTACCAACCTGAGAGATTTGAAATGCGTGAGTGACTTTACCAGTTGGCTGGTGGGGTGGGGGTCTAGCCGACGATCTGAGCATTTTTAATCTGTTTTAAAACGATTTCAGGGAGTGTTTGTTGATAATGCAGGTACATAAGCAAAAATATTATTAATAAAGCCAATTTGAGTTTCAATAGGCCTATGCTTATTATTTGAGCACCCAAACTATGTAGACCTACACAAACATTTCATAACTCGTTAGTGGAATAAGTAGGGCCTTCAAGGAAATACTGTACTCTCTCATGACTCAAGTTACTGCATCACCGTTTTTATAGTTTTAATACAACCAGTTTCTTCTAATTTTAAATACATTTTCCCCTGAATTTGTGATAAATCGTTATCACGCATAGACTTGTGTTAAATGCGTGACAAATTTAGGATCACGCATGTGTTTCTGCAGAAATGCGTGTTTCATCCAAAATCACTTTGAAATGCGGGACCGTACCGCACGATGCGAGACGGTTGGTAACGCGGTGGCGATTAGCAGAATTAATATATACAGTAATAATATAATAATATTATAATATAATATAGTAATAATATAGGCCTATGTACAGTAGATAATAATAATAATAATTATAATAATAATACTCATAATAATAATAATACTCATAATAAATGTATATCTAGAATCACATGGCTTAAAACTCTTTCTTCTGAGTTTTTTTCATACTGTATTATGTCAAACATTAGTGAACCCTCATAATTGTTTTGGTTTGTTCTTAAAGGTCTTGCTGCATGTTTTTGCTTTACTTGCTACCCGTGCTATCTGTCAAATAGGCTTGGTGAATCATGTTTTACGCCCTGCTGTGTGCCTGGCAGCATGGTAACGTTGAGGGCTATGAAGAGAGTCGAACACAACATTCCTGTAAGTATAAAAAGAAATAACGTAATACAGTACGCCTACAAATGCGACATTGTAAAACGTTGTGGTGCTTTATCATTGCATTTAAATGTAAAGAAAATTGTGTTGACAGGCTACACATGGTAGGCATACTGTCAATAAAAGAATATTTTACATGACTCAGAATAAAGCCCTGTCCAGACTATCAAATTTTATTTGACAGAAACTTGCGACATGCCTAAATATGGTCATGATGACATCACATATATAGGCACATCATGACTACATATAGGCAGGCAACATTTTTTTTTCTCATAGAAAAGTTGAGTCTCATGGACAGAGCTAGAACCAATGAAATTTAGTAACAAACAATAAATTATTGTTTCTAATTTGATGTTTCAGGGAAGCGTGTTGTGTGACTGCTGCACTATGCTTTGCTGTCCAATTTGTGCTCTAACTCAATTGAAACGTCATCATGACGCCAGGAGCATCACGCTCATGTAAAGAATTAGGTCCATGGTTTTTCATTAAAATCAATATAAAATTACGTTAATTAGTTACTCATGAGACCATGAGTTTTCTCTTTATAAGTAATTGTATTACTCTTTTACTGTTCGCAATTTTTAAACGGGCCTTTGTTTAACCATTTATTTATTTCGAAATACAATACTATTTAAATAACTATTTGAATAAAAAACAAAAACAAATTGAAGTAATGAAAATTACATACTTTAACCTGGTGTCCATGCACAAATTCCGATTGTTGTTATAGATGTATTGAGTTTAAGTTTCTTATTTAATCAATGTTCCTGTAACGTATTGTTGTTAAACTTTCATTTTTGCATGAAGCAAAATAACGTTGGTATTTACCTGGACGTTTCGATCACAAACGATGAACTTTTACAACGAAGGAGCAATCTTTGCGATAGACATCGGCGCATTACGTCATCGGACTGATGACGCCATGACCAGACTGCAGTAACAACACAGTCAGTTAAAAAGATCGTCGATAAATGAAATTTTAACAATTTTTTATTTAGTAAACAAGGTCATAACATTTTACAAAAACAAACACACAAATTAATAATAATTAACTTAATTTCATTAACTAATAGTTGTAAGTGTCTTTTTACACTTGTATTTTGTTTTTAATTTTTGTAATTCATTCTTAATGTTTGACTATTTCTTCTTTGTGTATTTTTTTCTATTTTAGTCATAATTGTGCAATAAATTAAATAATTAACTTAAAATTAGTGATGTTTATATGGTAGTTATTTCTAATTATAGTTTTACAATGTATTTAGTAATTAACTTATATTTGCTATAATGGTTCTTTTCCTCGCTGTATCTTGTATTTATCTTAGGTGGTTTATTCTTGATGTTTGTATGGTTCCTTCTTGTTTAATATATTTTATACTATTGAAGAATATGTAAATTCAACTCTAAGTTGAAATAAAGATAGATTGAGTGATTGAATGACAAATTAGTACAAACTAGAGCAGAAATTTGAGGGCGGTACACAATATGAATAAAAGCATACGTAATGTAGAGCACGGTAGCTTAAACTACTACCAAGCCATTTATTTAATGAAGGCACACAGAAAAAAACATAGGCCTATATATAGGCCTATATACACATATTGTTACACGCACAGCACAGAGAGTAGGCAACGCATTGACTTAGAATACATATGATAGGAATATAGGCCTGCATTTATTAAGCAAAGACTTAAATAAAATATAATAAAAGAATAGTAACACAAACTTTCGATACAATTCTAAGCCGCTTCGGATCTTTTTGCTTTCTTCCTTCTTCCTATGTATTACAGTACTATAAAAAAAAATTACATACTCACATACTCAATTTTATTACTTTAACCTTTAATATTACACAATATAATAATATTTACATTCATATCACAAATTCTTGATAACATTTGCTATTAATTATGCTATTTTTGGAATACAAAAATGTACAAGCAGATATCATTTTTAAACATAGTCGTAGTAATTCCTATATAAATATAAATACAAATATAATAAATATAAACTAATAAATAAGATGAAATAATGGACAATTTTCAATCTTATAATCAAGTTTATTATGGCTAATGACAGGGACGCTTTCACCATTTAAGGCTTTTCTATGAATGGAATGACCTGTATGGAGTACGAACCTGTAGACCAAACCCGGTAAAGTTTTCGACTTTTAATCGTACGAAAAATTTACTCACAGGCCTAGTAAATTGTATTTGCATATATTCTTAGAGAGTTTACATGATTTGCCAGGCCAACTCTACTCCAAAACAATTGCACATGCCATTTGAAACATAAAAAGAGCAAAATATTCAAACAATTATGCGGCAATATTATATAATTATTATTTTTCTGTGGGCCTATAGCGGCCACAATCAGTCGTCAAGAGCCGTCCATGACGTTTCACCATCGAACATAAATGTTCGTGAGATGTTTTTGTAGCTATTTTCAGCTAACCGTTCCCAAGGTAGCGTCGACGCTATTAGACATGTGGTGCATTTGGAATTTCTTCCACGCCGTGTTAACCTATGGAAGATGGAATCTACAAATTAGATAGCATATTAACGACAAATTTGTAGAGGATTTCGCAAGACTGCTGTAGAACAGTTCTCACCTGAGAAATGGACCCTGACTAGATGTGTATAAGAGACAG